GGTATAGCAAGAATTCCAGAGGTTAACTGCCTCTAGACAGTCGGTCTCCATGATCACATGCGTGCAGCCTCGAAGTGTAGCAAATATCGCTCCTTCCTTCAGCGCAAGAGCCTCCGCAATTAGAGGGTCTGTGACACCTGGAACTGGCTTACACCATGCACCCTTGAAGCCCGATGAAGAACGAGCAACACCTCCCAGCCCTGCATTCCCATCATCAAGATGGACTGCTGCATCTGTATTGATCTTTATATGCAGGTCGTCGGGGGGCTTCCAACCATAGCCTGGCAACGTAGAAGTGAGCTGCCTAGGTAGCTCGAGGATGGCTAAGTCCTCGCGAATCCTCCTAACAGAAGCTGCAGGATCCCATCCGTCCCGATCATGTGTTAGACGGTTGCGTGACATCCATATAGCCCACATAACAGTCATGAAGATCGCCCTCTCTCTGTCCGAGAACCGAGAGTCACAGACAATGTCTCTAGTCCACGTTTGCGGGTGGAGGCGCGGTAGATGAACATCAAACAGCAGTTGTGCCTCCTCCCAGAACCTACGTGCATGCAATGATCGCCCTCCAAATAGCAGACGAGGACTTGGGTACCGAAGCTTGTAAACATTCTGAGTCGGGGAAGTATCTGCCCTTCATAACCCTAGCACACAGGGATTCTGGGTTCATCAAGAAGCGCCACCCGTGCTTCCCTAGCAGTGCAAGGTTAAATAACCGAAAATCTCGAAAACCCATTACACCTTTGCATTTAGGTGTAGCCAATTTGTCCCATGCAATCCAGTGGAGGGATTTCCGATCAATGGAGCTCCCCCACCAAAACTTTGCCATATTTGAAGTTAAACCCTTGCACACCTTCTTTGTTAAGAGGAAACAACTCATGCTGAACGTCGGAATCGCTTGCACAATGGATTTCAGTAAAGTCTCTCTTCCTGCACACGCGAACAGTCGTTCCGCCCAGCCTTGCATACTGCCTCGGGCCCGATCGCCTATATATTCAAAAGTTCCACTATCTATCTTTCCCACAGCAGTCGGTAAGCCGAGATAGCGTTCAGAAAAAGCTTCAACTTGCACCCCAAGGAGTTGCTTCAGAACCTTCCTGACATCTGCAGGTGTATTAGGACTGAAAAAGATGGAGCTCTTGCTCCTGTTTACACTCTGGCCGGTAGCATCACTATAAATTTGTAAGATCTCATTCAGCCTAACTGCACTTTCCTCATTCGCCTTGATGAAGATGAGACTGTCATCTGCGAACAAAAGATGACTCACCCAAGGTGCTCTGAAACTCACTCTAATACCTCTATCAATGAAGGTACCGTAGGACTTCAAGAGCGCCGTGAGGCCTTCAGCACATAACAGGAACAGGTAAGGGGATACCGGACATCCCTGCCGAAGACCTCTGGAAGGGTTGAAATAAGGCTGCAGTTCTCCATTAACACGTACAGAAAACCGCACCGATGTGACACACTTCATGATTAGTCTTACCAGATTAGCGTCAAAACCCAACTTCAAGAGCATTGCTTGCAAGAAATGCCACTCTACTCTGTCGTAAGCCTTCATCATGTCAAGCTTAACTGCACAAGTGTAATTCTTTCCTTTCTTCCGTCTCCTCATAGTGTGAACACTTTCAAATGCCACAACCACATTGTCAGTGATCAACCGACCTGGGACAAAAGCACTTTGTTCCTCACTAATTATATCATCCAAACACATACATAATATGTTGGCAATAACCTTGACTACCAGTTTGTAAAGCACGGGACAAAGTGATATAGGACGATACTGTGAGATGCTCTGGGGGTGGCATACCTTAGGAACCAACGTGATCGACGTGTCATTGAGCCCCATTGGAAGTTCGCCTCCATTGAGAAAAGCCAACACCGCTTGGGTTACATCATCTTTGAGCAACTGCCAATGCCGCTGGAAAAAGCCTGCCATAAAACCATCCACGCCCGGCGCCTTGGAAGGCGCCATTTGAAATAAAGCTCTGTGAACTTCTTGAGGTTCGTACGATTTACACAGGAGCTCATTCATCTCCGGCGTGACCCGGTTTGGAACATGCGCTAATAACGCTTCAGTGTCACCCACACCTTGCGTTGCATACAATGACTGATAGAAGGCCTGAATCTCTGCCTTGTCTTCCTCTTCATTTGCACAAGTAGAACCATCCTCCCTTCTCCGGCCAACTATCCGGTTAATCTGTTTCCTCTGCCTTGCTTGTGCTTGAAAATAAGTCGTGTTTCGATCGCCATCGCGTAACCACGGAACTCGGGATCGTTGCCTCAACCAGATTTCTTCGAGCCTCATGGCTTCTCTCAATTGCTTCATTATGCTTCTCTCTTCATCTGATGGACCTCGTCCCACTGATTGATGACGCAGCTTATCTAGGCGTCGCTGAAGATTGCGAACCGTTCTTGTTAAGCTGCCAAACTCTCTGGCTCCCCAGGGCTCAAGCTGGCGCTGTAAAGCTCCCAGCGAATCCATGATGCCCTGCAGTCCAGAACCTCGGTGCTGCTCCCGCCATGTGTGTGCGATTAAGTGCTCATAGTCCTGATGTGACTGCCACACATTCTCATAGCAAAACTGCTTCGCTCCTATCGGCCTCTGCGTGAACGCGTGATCTCTGAACTCCGCAATAACGAAGCAATGATCAGACTCCACCACACACACATGCCGAACCCACATGTGATCATATCGCTGCCTAAACTCCTCGTTGGCAAAGGCTCGATCAATCCTTGCTTTAACATTTGCATCCCCCGGCTGGCGATTATCCCAGGTGTATGCAACACCCGTCCACCCCAGATCTTGGAGAGCACACTCACTGGTTGCTTCCTGGAACTCTCTCATTTGGCTGATCGGCTAAAATGATCATCTTGATACAGAGTTTCGTCGAAGTCACCAATACACATCCATGCCGCATGAGAAATAGCATGAAGTGCTCTTAGGAAGCGCCAGCTATGGTGTCGATCAGCTGCTCTCGGTGCTCCGTAAAAACCCGTCAATCTCCACGCACTTGAACCCGGTACACCATCCCGGACCAACACATCAATGTGACTTTTGCTAAACGACTTAAGTTCCACATCCACTTCTTTAGACCAGAACAGCCCCACACCACCACTTAGGCCGTCACTGTCCACTGCAAAACTACCTGCAAACCCTAGTGTATGCCGCAAATCCTCCACTCGTTTGCCTCTGATCTTTGTCTCCATAACAAAAACCAGCTCGGGCCCTTCTTGCTTCACCACAGTGCGAAGCTCTCGAACTGCCTCGGGGTTCCCAAGCCCCCGGCAGTTCCAGCTTAAACACCTCATTGCGACTGGCAGGGCTGACCCGCAGCACCTGCCGAACTTTCTGAAGTTGTTGGTGTGTCTTTCTTCTTTTTTGGCGCACGCTCCTCTGCGTCCCCATTGATATCCTCTCCACTTGCTTGCGCAGGATCATGCTGAATTAAAGCATTCTGGTTGTCCACATGCGGTTCTGCTGTAAGCAAGGGCATGACCACTTTCCTGTACACCTGATTCGGAGGGCCTCCTTTCCTCTTGTTCTTACCATTAACATGAGTATGCTTCTTTTTGGGAGAGGTGACCTCTTAATTGCCATCTCGCGTGGATCTAGCCTCCGGTGCTTCCTTTCCTCCTCCTGATTTTGCATTAGTCTGACTTGCCTGGCTTGCTCCCGAATTCTCATTGGAGGGGGATCTTTTTTTGTCTTCCGGTGCACGAAGACTAGTTTTGAACGGGAGATCCCCGTTCTCATCTCTAGTTCCCAGCGTCGGAAAGAGTAGGTCCGAGTGACCTAGACGGCCACACGAAAAGTAGAAATTCGGGACGTTTTCATATTGTATGTCATACCAGTCCCGGCTTCCTCTAGCCGCAGAATCTATGAGGATCCACCTTCGCAAAGGCTTACTGACATCAATTGTGACTCGCGTCCTCAAGAATCCTCCCATTGGGTCAAATTGCACTGATTGAGCATTCTTATCAATCTGCTTTGCCACTGCCAGCCCCCGTTTCTCGTTCCTGAGATTGAAGGGCAAGTTGGAAACCCTAGCCCACAACTGCAACTTATCAAATTGTAATTCCGATGGCTTCATGCAGTCGGAGAACTCAGACAGTATGACTGCGTGTTTGCTAATATGCCAGGGGCTACCATCCCACACGCGGTCGCGATCACGTTTGGTGGCGAATTCCGCCACGAAGATATTTTCCCCCGCCGGCCTGAAGGTCAGGCCTTTAGGGTTCCCCCAGGCAGGACGAAGAGCATTGCAGATCGTTTGGATATGGAACGTGTGGCGGTGTAGAACCTTCCCCGCCAGTGACCACTTCGTCGGTTCATCATCGTCGGCATCATCGATCACAAGCGGCGTGGACTCCTCTTCCGTCAGATCCAGTCTACCCATCGCCTCCTCCAGCCGCGCCCTTGCCGTCCGTGGCGAGGGAGCGTCTGCCTTCTCCTTCCCAGCACCGGACGAAGCCATCTCGGCGCTGTCTCCGATCCGCCCCGCCGATCGAGGTCGGTCGTGCGCCGTATTTCCCCTCGAAACCCTAATCGCCTCTCAGGAGGTTTCCTAGGTTTTCGGGGAAGCCTCCATCCACTTAGTTAGCTAAAAAAATGTTCTTTTCTGAATCAATAGTCCCACCTCGGAAATACGAAAACTTGGAAACGAAAAAGTGATAGGCGTTCCCTTGTGATTTATGTATACTGTATTTATCAAATATTTCCCGAGCAGATTCAGTGAACCTGCCAGCGCAGAATTAACTACTAGAAGACGATTAAAATTGGCAACTACTCTATTAATCGCCAGCTGCGGTATAACCCATATACCTCCACATCGCGGCGGGTCCCAAGTTCTACAGCGTCGCATTACTGGCATTCCCATCATGTGAGTGATACACACACCCTCTACAAAGGTAAGGCCGGGGCGTTCCTCCGCCCGGTTGAAATTTGAGGGGCTTGGTACAGCTTTAGCATTGGAAGCAGAAGAGCAGCTAGCGAGGCCTCCATGGACATCGATCTCAACGTTCCAGCGGATGATGTCCCGGAAGAGCCGGTGCCGACGTGGGGAGAATGCCCGCAGCTGTACCTCTCGTACAGCATCGCCACTCGCAACGACCGGCTCCCGTTCCTGAAGGACGCCATCGCCGCCGTGAAGTCGTTCACGGTGCTGTCCCCGCCGTTGGGACTCGATTTTTTCGGGGTCTTCGACGGGATCTTGGGCGCCAAGTTCGTGGAGCACATGGAAGAGCGGCTGCACGTCGCCATCGCCAAGGAGATAGAGCGGGACCTGCGCGCCGACTCCCCGCGGGCTCGGGGCGACATCGTGGGCTGGTGGAGGGTGATCATTGAGGAAGCTTTCCGCGTGGTGGACAACGAGGTGGTCGCTGGTGGCCGTGGTGGCATCGATGCTCCTGCGCGCGTCGCCTCCGGGGCCCTCGCCGTGCTGGTTCTAGAGGACTACTTCGTGCTCGCCAACCGCGGCGCTTCTAGGGCCGTGATCTACCGCGGCTCTGAGGCTGTGCCGCTCACCCCTGAGCACACGCCTATGGTAATGCTTCCACCTTACTCTAATCTTTCTTCACCCAACAGTAACACCATCTGAGAATTCAGATGTATGTTCTGTTTTGTTTCAGTTCTGCAATTTTAAGCTACATATGATGTTATGAATGAAATGGGGTGTTTTAGGTTATGGTATGATCTCTTGTTTATTTGGATTGGTCAAAGAGTTTTGCAAGATTTCCTCCCCTGTGCATAAAATTTGGACCGGAGAAACACGGAAGGTTGTAGGCACGAAAGAAGGGGATCAGCAAGCCTAGTATAGTTATGTAATGTTCATTTGTACAACCGGAATGCCTGGTGCTAGCACAAATCTACTGGTAGCTATTGTTTGGCTCTGCGTGTACCTTTTGAATTGAAGTAGGTCATGCAAGCTTCTGTTCTATGTGAGAACACATGAGAGAGAGAACTTATGCTTGGAAAAAGGCATTTATTTACATGTGTTTGTACTTGAAATAGCAGCTGCCAGACCCACACTTCTCCTAATTAACAGTCAAAAATATAAGAAATTTCTCTGACTTTTTGCCTTAAAGAACTGTATATGTACTTGTTCTAGCTGTGATTTGTTCTCCAGAAAGTAAAGTGTGCAACGGTTTTGTTATTAGTCGGGCACCTGAATTTTTGTGTCCGTCAGTCAATTTTTGTAGCCATACGTTAATTACGTAGTTTTGCCTTCTGTACAATTCATCGATCGATTGATTCCATGGCCCATGTCTTTTTCAGCGTTTTCTCTATGCGTGGGGGAGAGTTTTCATTTGTGGGCTTGTAGGAGGTTGCCCGGGTGTGTATGACCCTGCATGGATGATTACTTTTCCGTAAAAAAAACATGTACTCCCTTCATACAGAAATATAAGAGCGTTCAAATCACTAGTTTAGTGATCTAAATGCTCTTACATATCTTTACAGAGGGAGTATCTTTCCATTGTGTGTATGCAACTGCATGCCTTTCTGTACTTGGCGCGTGAGTTCATGTGTGTGCATGTCATGCATTTGAAAGATGTGAGAGCGACTCTACATGATATGCGCAATTCATCTTCAACATTTGAGAGATGCTTAATCACCAGCATTGGTGCTTTGTTAGTTGAATACAGATTATACCATTATCTAAACGTATTCATACTATATGTTTGTTCTTATACATTGTAGAACAATACAAGTTCTATGTAATATGTGTCTAAGTTTTTATCATCATTTCCTTTATTTTTCTTTCTTCTTTAGTGTAATACCAATGCCCTTAATTCATTCTACCTTAGAATAATTTTTTTGTTTTTCTTTTATATATGTTATTAGGTTTTCCCATTGGACAGGCCTCTGAATGTTCAGTCCTTTTTTTTTCATTTTCATGTGTGTTTGCTTCTGTTTTAACTCTTTTATGAGTTTTTTTTTCTTTTTTTATGTGTATATGCTGATGATGTGTGTTTTGCGAGTATACACATAAATACTCTACAATACATGTGTAAATTATACTAGATTGAGAAAATTGCACTATTTTGACTCTTATTATTGCATATTATAAATAAGTGCAAATTGTGTGCATGTTTTTTTTTCATCATTTGTTATATATATTTTCAACTTCTTTATTTTTTTAAGGGTAATACCATCCACTAACTCATTCTAATTTCTTAGTAAACTTTCAAAATTTGTTGCACTGTTATATGTATATTCTTGCATATTATAAAACAAATTATAATTCCTGTACAAATTGTGTGCACGTTTCTGTCATCATTTTTTAGTTCATTTTTCATTTTCTTTCTTATTTAATTATGGGTAATAGCAATACCACTAATTCATTCTTTCTTAGAAAACTTTATATATATTTTTTAGTTTATGATTTCCTTAGTATATGTCTTTTTTTACTTCTTATTTAACATATATAAAGCAGACGCAGACGTTCGTACATATGCACATACAATATGTCTTTGTTTACTGATAAGGATAAAGTGACTGACAAAAAACAATCTTTTCTTTTTCTCGCTTGTGCTAATGTTTCTACCTCCATTTTATTATTTTCTTGCTCTATTGAGTCTTGTCCCGTAGTCGTTTTGATAATGCAATCGGGTGAACTACTTAATTGATGTTAAGAACAGAATTATTCTAATATTATTTACTTAAATCATAATTATTATTAAAGTTGCACATGTTTATATTTATTCTTGCACAATATGGAAGAGTGCAATAGTTAAAATGTTTCTCATATTTTAGTTTCATGCAATACTTTAATTTGAACAAAATTTGCTTATGTGCCGGAACCCTTTATGCAGTTTACAATCGCTGTTTGATTAAACATTTTAATTAGCAATGGCCGCAGTAGCAGGAAAGCTATAGGGCAAAAGATGGCAGCTAGTCAACAAGCATTTGGTATTACAAAAAGGGCGATGCTAGGCACCGGCATGCCGACCCAGCTGTTCGGCCGGTCCCGCCCCAGCTGCCCGATGTACCCAGCCCCAGTCGTCTGATCTGCCCCCCTCCCCTCCCCCCCCTCCCCCCTCGTTGACTTCTTCATCTTCTTCTTTCGCGCATGCCGACTGTCCCTGTCGCTGGCCACCACCCCCTCAACTGGACCTCCTCCCCCCACAGTCCCACACTGCTGGATGCGTACTCCGTCCCCGTCGCCGCAGGTCTCCGTTGCAGCATCCGTACTCGTCCCTCGGTCCGGCAAGAAGTCGTCGCCCCTCGTAGCAAAAAGAACGACGCCGCCTTGAAGCACGCCGACACCCTCTATCATTGCAGCACCTAGCATCCGTTGTCGTCACTGCACTGTCATGTCGCCGACGCAGCTTCTCAACATCGCCGCTCGCCGCCATTGGCGAGTCAGGTTGAAGCTTTTTCTCTCATTGGTTGAAGATTTTTTCGCGGATTGAAGCTTTCCGCCGTGCCGATTGAAGCTTTTTTCACCTAGGGTTGAAGCTTTTTTCGTAAGGATTGCAGCCTTTTCACTTTGATAGTGGCTGGTTGAAGCTTCCCCTGATAGCCTTTTCTATATACGCTTGAAGCTTTTTTGTCGATGGTTGCAACACTCGTATCGTGGTTGAAGCTTTTCTGTCAAAATGGTTGCAATTCTTTTCCACTTGCGTGGTGCCGTGGTTGAAGCATTGTCTATCTACAATTGAAGCTTTTGTGTCAAATGGTTGCAGCTTTTCCTTGTTGGGCAATGCCGATTGAAGCTTTTTCTATCTACAGTTGCAGCTTTTTTTCAACAACTATTGAAGTTGTTTATATGACGGTTGCAACACTTGCATACGCACGGTTCTATCCATGGCAGGAGGCAGCCATGGCATCTCCCGTGGCTCGGCCCCAGCACCGGCAATGGCCGAATACAGTAATGGTGGTTGCAGCAGCGTCCCCCCTCCCCCCTCCTGTACCTTGTTGTTGGTCGCATCGCTTCTGGTCGAAGGCATCCGGTGCTCGGCCCTTCTCGCGCGCGGCCATGGCGAAGGCCACAGGTCAAGGCGACGGGCATGTCCATGGCGACAAGGGGCGGGATGGTGGTGCACGAGCTTGCTGGGCGGTGGCCGGTGCATCGCAAAAGGCGTGAGGGGCGTGTGGCAGTGCCTGCACGGGG